GGGTGAGCCATCGTGCCTGGGCCATTTTAACCATTTTTAATGTGTGATTCAGCACCATTCAGAACCCCCACAGTGATTGTGCAGCCGTCACCACTGTGCATTTCCAGAACTTTTCATCATCCCAAGCAGAATCTATCCTGTACTTATTAAAGAGCAACTCCCTATATCCCTCCCCCAGCCAAGGTCACTCTATTCTACTTTCTTTTTTTTTTTTTGAGAGAGTTCTCACTCTGTCGCCCAGGCTGGAATGCAGTGGTGCGATCTCGGCTCACCTGCAAGCTCCGCCTCGGTTCACGCCATTCTCCTATCAGCTACCGAGTAGCTGGGACTACAGGCGCCCGCACCGCCCCGCTAATTTTTTTTTTTGTATTTTAGTAGAGATGGGTTTCACTGTGTTAGCCCAGGATGGTCTGATGTGCCTGACCTCGTGATCCGCCCGCCTCAGCCTCCCAAAGTGCTGGGATTACAGGTGGGAGCCACCGTGCCCGGCCGGTTGTTGTAGTTTTTAATTTTCACATTTCCATTTGGTTATAACTCCTGTTTCTGTACCAAGATTTTCTTTCCACTTGGCTGAGAATGTTTGCTTTACTCTTGGAGCTGGTCTGATAGCACCGAGAGTCTCTGTGAGTCCTGCGTTCACCTCAGAGCCAGCTTCTCTTGTGGGTTTATTCCTTTGAGAATCAATCAGACTACCCTTTGCCAGGTAGTTTGATCGTGTTTTGGATGCTTTGACTACGATGCTATGGACTCTGGGTCTTGTTTAAGTTTCACAGAGAATGTAGATTTTTTTATAGCAAGAAATCGACCTGGTTAGGTTCAGGCTGCAAATTTTGCCCGTTCCTGCGTCTGTGTTCTTAGGCCAGTTTAGTTTAGAGACTTTCCAGTGCACTGTGGATCTGCCCCATGTGCGCCGTTGGGGCCCATCTGAGACCTGGGCAGTGGTCTATCCTGTGGGTCAGTTTTCTTCCCTTTGCCCTTTAGGGTGAGGACCACGTAGAGACTGTCTTGGGATGACCCGGGTGCTCACACACAGCTGTGTGCCATCCTCTCTGTTCCCCTTTCCTCTCATCGCCTCCCCCACACTCTGACTCCTGGCTCCTTGGCCTCTGACTAGAAACCAGGGCTTTCGTGTTCCCTGTGCTGGGTGAAGGATGGAGACTGAGAGGACAACAGGAGCCCCCACACTCTTGGGCCACCACTCCTTTAGTCAGGAGGAAGATTCCCTTCTCTCCAAGCTTTTTGGGCCTGCCAAGACTGCCGCTGTCACAGGGTTTTACCAGGGGTGGGACTTGCTGAAGGCAAAACCAGCAAAGACAAAATAATAAGAATTTTAGAACCCAGGGCAGGCCGGGCACGGTGGCTCACACCTGCAATCCCAGCACTTTGGGAGGGCGAGGTGAGTGGATCACGTGAGGTCAAGAGTTTGAGACCAGCCTGGGCAACATGGTGAAACCTGTAATCCCAGCTATTCGAGAGGCTGAGGCGGGAGAATTGCTTGAACCCGGGAGGCAGAGCTTGCAGTGAGCCGAAATCGCGCCACTGCACTCCAGCCTGGGTGACAGAGCGAGACTCCATCTCAAAAAAAAACCCCAAAAAACAAACAAATCCCAGGGCATTGCCCTCCTCTCTGTCTCGAACGGGTTTCCCTTCCCATTCCACAGGCAGAGAGGACTTCTTGGAGTGCTTTCTGCACCTGAAACTCAGCTCAGGGGTTGGGGCTGGCTTTGAGTTCAGGCCAGGAGAGACGGAAGAACTGGCAAGCCGGGGACCTGCGTCCAGGGAAGTCGCTTCGAATTCCGGGCCCCCCCCCCCCGTCCTCCTGCTCTGAGCCCCACATGGAGGGAGTGGCTCTGTGCCTTCTGCCCGAGGGTTTCGGCTCATCCCGTGGGAAAGATGGGTGGAGTGCACTTACACCGCCCTTGGAACCAGAGACCGGAGTAGCCCTTCTGTTGCCTCTCGTTTTTGTCAGGAAGTAGCCGTCTGGGACTCAAGGATGGGTCTTTGAAGCTGATGAGAGATGCCTTTGTGAGTGCTGTGTTGTGCGGATGTGGAGATGACTCCGGCCCTGTGCCCTGCCTTGCTTCCTCCAGGACTCGGGACCCTGGAGGACTGACGCTGCTGGCCTGGGCGTCCCTTTCTGCTGAGCCATGGCGACTCCCGACGTGAGCGTGCACATGGAGGAGGTGGTGGTGGTGACAACTCCGGACACTGCGGTGGATGGCAGCAGCGTGGAGGGCGTGAAGACTGTGTTGGTGACGACCAATTTGGCCCCTCACGGGTAAGCTCAGGCCTCAGTGCCATTGGAGCTGATGGGGGCTTGGGTTAGGCTGTCCTTGGCTCAGCTGGCATTAACGTAGTAAGGGGCAAGTGTCAGGATTTTCCTAGTTCCAGTTCTTCTGAGACTGGACTTAAATTGTGTGTGTAAGTAGAGAGTGAAGAAAAGCAGAAATGGCCCCGGGAACCAGAAGACCCAGCTGCAGCTCTGGGGAGGCCTCCCGTACCCGCACGGCCACGTGGCTCCACGTCCTGAAAGGCCGTGACTTCTCGTGTGAGAGGGAGCAGTAGGGATGGCAGAGAGCTGGCCTTTCAGAAATGAAGAGCCAGTGATTTTCTTGACAGTCTTCATGAAACTATGAGTGTTTTCTTTCTCATCTCCGTACCAGATGTCCGAATCAAATGTTAGTTTGCAAAAGTGCTAACATTTGCCCAGACTGCCGGCTTTGTTTTGCTGCCTGTAGGTGGAACTACTAAGAGGTAGCAGAGCTGCTTCTGCTGTGAGCCGGTGTCTGCTGGGGGTGAGATAGAGGCCCAGTCAGCCCTTGTGTCACTCCTGCCTGTGCTGGGGGTGAGATAAAGGCAGAGTCAGCCCTGGGCAATCCAGGGCGGCGATCCTTATTCTTCCTCCCCAGAGGACTCTGGGACTCTGGGGCTCTGGGCTGGGGCTCCCGCTGGTCTCATCCTTGCTGTGTCTCATGTGTGGCATCTTCATGTTGACCTAGCATGTCACTGAGCATGAGCTTTTGACTTTCTCACCATTTGACAGAGGATGACTCTAGACTGCCAACCCCTGTGCGGTGCGGGTCAGGCCTCCCTTCATGGACGGTGTGCAGGCAGCTCCTGCCTGGGAGGACCTGGCCCTGAGTTCCTTCCTGCCTTTCTTCCCTTGCTGTGGAGCCTGTTGTTGCACCTGAGACTTTAACCTCCTGCATGTCCAGGTGGTGGAGGCTGTTGTGCGAGTACAGAACAAGACATTGACCTGTGTAGGTTCCTGGTGCGAGGTACCCTGTCCTTTCCTGCCTCATCCACACAGCTGGTGGCCATGTCTGGAAATGCAGGAGTGTCTGAGTGGGACCTCCCGGCTGGATGTTCACACCTCCATTCTCCTTTTTCCTTTGTCAGCACCTTGGTGCACAGCTTCCATGTTTTCCGGGCATGTGTCCACGATGTTTCCTGACATCTCCCACCCCACACCTCCCCACTCTTGCCCAGAGAGGCAGTGCCCAAGTCCCCTCCCGTGGGGCACCATGGCCACGGCTGCTGGGGTGGTGTCCACGTCTCCTCACCCGAGCCCTGACATGGCCTGCAGTGAGTACAGTGTGACAGCAGTGACCCGTGGCCAGAGAAGTCCACGTAGCTTTCTCATGGTGCCCTAGGGCTGCTGCGAGGAGCCCAGGGTCATTTCTGACCTGGGGAGAGGCTGTTGGTTCCACCTGAGCCCAGCTTTTGTGTCACCCACCCAGGCGTCCAGGTGGAAGGGGCCTCGGAGTAGGCCCAGTCCCATATCTAGCTCTCCTGTACCGAGCCCTGACACCGTGGCTGTGGCTGCTGGGGTGGTGTCCAGGTCACCTCACCTGACCTGTGACAGCATGGCCGCAGCTGCCAGGGTGGGTAGTCCAGCACTGGGTTGGTACCTTCAGTGTCCTCAGCTCGAGGCCTTTCTTCCTGACCTGGTCTGACCCCCAGACGTCACGTCTTAGCCTGCTCGGGCAGCCATAACAGAATGCCACAGGCCGGGCGGCCTGAACAGCAGAGAGTTCTTTTCTTACAGTTCTGAAGACTGAAGTCCAAGATCAGGGTCTGCCAGATTCCACTTTTGGGAGGACTCCCTTTCTGACTTGCAGATGGCCGACTTCTTGCTGTGTCCTCATGATGGAGAGGGAGGGAGAAAGATCTTTCTCTTTCACTTCTTAGAAGGTCACAGTCGGCCAGGCGCGGTGGCTCATGCCTGTAATTCCAGCACTGTGGGAGACTGAGGCAGACAGATAACTTGAGCCCAGTTCAGGACCAGCCTGGGCAACATGGCAAAACCCCATCTCTACAAAAAACACAGCACACCACCAGCTGGGCATGGTAGTGAGCACCTGTAGTCCCAGCAACTCAGGAAGCTGAAGCAGGAGGATCACCTGAGCCCAGGAGTTGGAGACAGCAGTGAGCCGTGACCATGCCGCTGCACTCCAACCTGAATGATAAGAGTGAGACCCTGTCTCCAAAAAAAAAAAAAAAACCACCAGAAGGTCAAAGTGTTACTGGATGAGGGCCAACCGTATGACCTCATTTTAATTATCTCCCGAAGACCCCATCTTTAAATACAGTCATACTGGGGGTGAGGCCTTCAACATAGGAATTTTACGGGGGACACAGTTCAGGACAATGCCTTCCCCTAGCTCTCGGGATCCTGTAGGCAGGGGCCTGCCTCCACCTCTCAGGGTCTTCTGACAGGTGGGGCTGAGGATGGCAAGTAGCTGGATGGGTGGGGGTGGGGACATCTTTTGGTTGCCCTCCTTTCCCTCATCCTGCTGGCAGAGGTAGTTGATGTCCCAGGCCTCTAGATTTAGGGATTTGGGGTATAAACTGAGCATCAGTCATCTCCCCACGGCCAGCCTCCGCCGCTCAGTCTGCGCCTTGCTGCTCGATGTGTCTGTGCGCGCCCTCCTGCTCCTCGCTTCTGGCTTTGTACTTCGGAAGCTCTTCTCTCTGCATTGTTGTGAGGACTTCCATGAGGAGCCCGTTCACGTGTGTGTTATTTTTATTTTTATTTTTATTTTTTGAGATGGAGTCTTGTTCTTGTTGCCCAGGCTAGAGTACAGTGGCGTGATCTCGGCTCACTACAACCTCTGCCTCCCAAGTTGAAGGAATTTTCCTGCCTCAGCTTCCCAAGTAGCTGGGACTACAGGCGTGTGCCACCACATCCAGCTCATTTTTGTATTTTTAGTAGAAACGGGGTTTCACCATGTTGGCCAGGCTGGTCTTGAACTCCTGACCTCGGGTGATCTGCTCGACTCGGCCTCCCAAAGTGCTGAGATTATAGGCATGAGCCACTGCACCTGGCCCACATGTGTGTTTAATTTGCCATTTTATCAGGAAGTTTGTACAGCTTTTAAAAAATTATAACCATTTTTATTACAAAGTATATATGGTAGAAAATTATTTCATAGCTGAAATGATTTAGAAAGAAAAAGAAAATTAGAAAATACTGATAAGCAAAAATAAAATAAAGGCCCTATTACTACTACCTAGAGTTTCCTACTCTCAGTACCTTAGGATAGATCTTTCCAGATGTTCTGTTTGTATAGAACATACGAATTTTTCTTTCCTTAAGCCTTTTCATGATTAAACTCATGTACGTGCTGAAAAGCACCCCAGGTGCTCATGTTCAGCTGAATGAGCCCCACAAAGGGAGCATGGGGCGTCGCCACACCCTGGAGCCCTGCACATGCCCCTCGCGTTCCCAACAGGAGACCCCACTGGGCTTTCGTTCTGGTTTGGCTTTAGTTAATGATCTTTGTCTTTCCATGTTGATGAATTTTAATCTCTTCTAATATTCAATTCAAATGTAAGTTTCTTCCTATGTTGGCCAGGCCTGGTGGCTCCTGCCTATAACCCGAGCACTTTGGGAGGCTGAGCTGGGAGGGTTGCCTGAGACCAGCCTGAGCAACAAAGTGAAACCTCGTCTCTACAAAAAATCCAAAAATTATTTGGGTGTGGTGGCGTGCACCTACGGTCCCAGCTGCATGGGAGGTTGAGGCTGCAGTGAGCCAAGGTCATGCCACTGCACTCCAGCCTGGGTGACAGGGTGAGATCCTGTCTCAAAAAAAAAAAGAAAAAAAGAAAAGTTTCTTTTCCCCCAAAGTAGCTTTTGCTGTCGGTTTGTCCGAGCTGGAGACCATCCCATTTAGTCCTCATATAGCCCATGGGCGTGTCACTCAGAAAAGTCTCTTTTTCATGAACTGGCTTAACGAGGAGACTGGGCCAGATGTCCTGCAGCTGCCTTGCTGGGTTCAGAGGATCACAGTTCACGACAGCAGCTGAGTCGTGCCCAGCTCCAGTCTCCAAAGCCAGGGTCTGTCTGGGGGACTGGGTGCTGCCCAGTCTGACAAATGCAGGGCGGCTTTCGCGTCCTCGGGGGTCCCCTTACCCTGCACTGCTCTGAACTCTTCCCTCCCCCTCCTGTCCAGACCACCCACATTCTAGACTCTCACACCCAAGAGAAGTCTCATGAACACTGTCACAGGAGCCTCAAGGACACTGGAGTTACCCATTTGAAATGTAGAGATTTCAACTTTAAGTAAATTTTTGTTGAAAAACAAAAATGGGCGGGCCAATCCCCCTTTTTTTGGGCCCATTTCTCCCTTTTCTCAGGAGTGGGATTTTTTCGTTTGCTTTGGAGGATGGAGTCTCATCCTGTCGCCCAAGGCTGGAGTGGCAGTGGGTGGATCCTGGCTCCCTGCAACCTCCACTCCTGATTCAAGCATTCCTTGCCTCCGCCTCCTGAGTAGGCTGGGAATTACAGGGGCATCGCTATTCATGCCCGCTAATTCTTTTGTACGTTTGGTAGAGACCGTGTTTTCACAATGTTGCCGGCTGGTCTCCAAGACTCCTGACCCTTTTGATTCCCTGCCTTTGGCCCTCCAAAGTGTTGGGATTACAGACATGAGCCACCAACACCTGGCCAAGGAATCGGGATGTTTTACCCAATGCCTTGCCACATTATATATGAAAGTAGTAAATTGTGTTCGGTATCTGTTCCAGGCTCATAGGAAGGAACTTATGTCTTGAGTCTCAGGAGAGACTTTGACTTTGCGCTTGAGGTTGGAATGATAGACTTTCTGGGGCTGTTTGGGAAGACGATGATTAATCTGACAGAGCGCTCTTGGTGCAACTAAGACAGCAGACTGTATGGAGTCCTGGGCTAGGGGTAAAATAGTACTGTTTGCGTGAGATTGTTCTCGTGGCCACTTGCCCATGTCACTGGGCGCATGCGAGAGCCGCCAGTGGGTGATCGCCTAGTGCGCATCTGTCTCAAAATCAATAGAAGGAGAACATATCCTCTCATAAATAGCGCTGGTGCTCGCCCTCCTGGGTCTGAACTGCGTTCTCATTCTTCTGTGAGCGTCTGCATCGTGAGCGCGGTCTATCAGTCGCTAGGAATGACCCACCGTCTCTGGGCGACTCTCTCCCCTGACGTGCGCGGCGTGTGCTCCCTCCACTCTGTTTGTCTATCTAGGTGGAACATGACGTAGACGCCTAGCTCTCCGGTCCCTACCATCAGTGTATTATAAGCCTTCCTTATCGGTTCTCCTCTATAAAGTAGCAAAATTAGCCAGCCTGGCCGGCCCGGCAGGTGCTCCAAGCCTGTAATACTCAGCACTCTTTTGGGAGGCGCGAGATGCGGCGGATCAGCAAGGTGCAGGATAGGTCAAGACCATCCTGGCTACACGGTTGAAACCCGTCTCTACTCAACCATCAGACCACAACCCTAGGCCGGGTCGAGTGTGGCGGCGCGCCTGTAGTCGGCCAGCTACTCGGGAGGCTGAGGCAGGAGAATGGCGTAACCTGGGAGGCGGAGGGCTGCAGTGAGCTGAGATCCGCCCCACTGCAGCTCCAGCCTGGGCGACGAAAGAAAAGACAAAACACAGGAGGGAGACCTCCGACCAAAAAAAAAATGTAGGCCAGGGCTGTGGTGGGCGGGCAGCGCTGTAATGCAGCTACTTGGGAGTCTGCAGGCAGGCAGAATTGCTTGAACTGGGGGATGGAGGTTAGCAGTGAGCGAGATTGTGGGCCCTGGCATCCAGCCTGGGTGCACGAGGACTTGGTCTC